TGATCTCCTCCGTTGCCGGAGTGGCCCAGAGAGACGCACTGTCCTGCATGAAGGAGAGGACCGCCCGAATCCACTGGTCGTCGCGTGCGCTGATGGCGTTACCCATGGCATTGACATGATTGAGCGTCGAGCCTTGGGACATGGCCCAGAGGGTGAACGCAGCTAGGAAACGTCGTGCCTCACCTCCTTGTTCGCCTTTGAAGGGGGAGGGCTTCTGGATGGCCTTCAGACTGTTGGTCCCTGCGGTCAAGTTTGCGAGCTGCGCCATGGACTGGGTGAGGAGGGTCATCGACTGGAGTAGCATAGCCATGGGGTCCGGGGGTTGCGTTGCCGTCTGGGTGCCCGGTTGGGCCTGTTGGGGGTTGTTGGCGGGGCCTGTCACCTGCGGTTGTCCACCTTGTTGTCCCATGATGGGTGGAGCGGATGGCGGTCGAGTTGGGGGAGGAGTGGGGGATGGTGGAAGCGCGATGAGTAGCGCTACTTTGAGCTCGTCGGTCGGAGTACCGGGGATAGGGGATCGAGTCGTAGGTGACTCAGCAACAGGGGAGTCCTGGACTGGGATGAACTCGTTCGCAAAGGCGTTCCAGTTGATCCGAGTAGGACGGTGATGACGGTTTGGGCAGGGGTTTTGCTCGCACGGTTCCCAGTACCAGAGTCCGTTGTCTGGGTCCTTTCGTCAGTGGCAGTACTCTTGGTCGTCGGTGTCTCACGCGTGAAGTCTGCCGGTGCAGTCCAGGGTGGGGGAGACAATGTAATGGCGGCAGGGACACTCTTGTTCAGAGTGTCAGCACCGGGGGGGAGATCTCGACCTAATGTCACGGCGACTAGGCGCGTAGACTCGGGTCGACACTCGGCGACGACCCCGTGGGCGAGCGGCAAGGAGCCGAAAGGGAGAGAGAGAGATAGGGAGGGATAAACGTATCAAGAAACTCGACGAGGGCAGAGCGGCGGCCGGCACGAGGGCACAAGACCGACATAAGCTAGTCTTCACGCAAGCAACGACAGACTAGTCCCAATGACCAAGTTATACATTAGCACTCGAAGGGAAATACAACGCTATGGCCACTCACCTAGTCCCAATGACCAAGAGGTCGAGATGGGGACTAGGGAGCGCCTAGGGGGGTCCTTATATACTAGAGGGGCTGCTTAGCAACCAAGGACAAGGCGCGAGAGCGAGGCAGTGAAGATGACAAAGAGAGAACAAAGGGCGAGAAAGAAAAGGCAAGGGCATGGCGATCACGGGAACGTAGCATGCGGTGGTGGGAATGTATCTGCAGTATCCAAACTGGGATGGGCTAGGAAAGGAAATGGTCGGAAAATGGAAGGTGGGTGTCAAAGGGAAGGGAGTGGGCGGCAAAAAGGGGCGCCTGTGCAACGTGCGTGACAGCTTGTTCGCACTTGCGCGCAATTGGCCCTGGCAGCCTTGACGCTGCTCCCAATGGAGTACGACCTGCTGGCGGATCTCAGCAAGGGTGATCGCCTCGATCGCAGTCTTGCCCGTCGCAGGCTTCAGGCCAGCGATGTAGAGCTGGATCATCGGATCCATGTTGGAAG